TTGGCACTCGGCTTTCTTTATGGACCAACTCTCACATCCACACAAGACTACTGGAAAAAACAGCCTTGACTAGGCGAACCTTTGTCGGCAAAGTAATGTGTCTGCTTTTTAATATGCTGTCTAAGTTGGTCATAGCTTTTCTTCCAAGGAGCAAGCATCTTTTAATTTCATGGCTGCAGTCACCATCTGCAGTGATTTTGGAGCCCCCAAAAATAAAGCCTGACACTGTTTCCATCTATTTGCCATGAAGTAATGGGACAAGATGCCATGATCTTTGTTTTCTGAATGTTGAGCTGTAAGCCAACTTTTTCATTCTATTCTTTCACTTTCATCAAGAGGCTCTTTAGTTCTTCTTCACTTTCTGCTATAAGGGTGCTGTCATCTGCATATCTGAGGTTACTGATATTTCTCTGGGTAATCTTGATTCCAGCTTGTGCTTCTACCAGCCCAGGGTTTCTCATGATGTACTCTGCATATAAGTTAAATAAATATGGTGTAACTAAACAGCCTTGACGTACTCCTTTACCTATTTGGAACCAGTCTGTTGTTCCATGTCCAGTTCTAACTTGCTTCCTGACCTGCATATGGGTTTCCTAAGAGGCAGGTCAGATGGTCTGGTAGTCCCATCTCTTTCAGAATTTTCCAAGTCTATTCGGATCCACACAGTCAAAGGCTTTGGCATAGTCAATAAAGCAGAAATAGATTTTTTCTGGAACTCTCTTGCTTTTTCGATGATCCAGCGGATGTTGGCAATTTGATCTCTGGTTCCTCTGCCTTTTCTAAAACCAGCTTAAACATCTGGAAGTTCATGGTTCACATATTGCTCAAGCCTGGCTTGGAAAATTTTGAGCATTACTTTACTAGCGTGTGAGATGAGTGCAATTGTGCAGTAGTTTGAGCATTCTTTGGCATTGCCTTTCTTTGGGATTGGAATGAAAACTGACCCTCTCCAGTCCGGTGGCCACTGCTGAGTTTTCCAAATTTGCTGGCATATTGAGTGCATCACTTTAACAGCATCTTTCAGGATTTGAAATAGCTCAACTAAAATTGCATCACCTCCACTAGCTCTGTTTGTAGTGATGCTAAGGCCCACTTGACTATGTCTGGCTCTAGGTGAGTGATCACACCATAGTGATTATCTGGGTCATAAAGATCTTTTTGGTACGGTTCTTCTGTGTATTCTTGCCACCTCTTCTTAATATCTTCTTCTTCTGTTAGGTCCATACCATTTCTGTCCTTTATTGAGCCCATCTTTGCATAAATGTTCCCTTGGTATCTCTGATTTTCCTGAGAAGATCTCTAGTCTTTCCCATTCTATTGTTTTCCTCTATTTCTTTGCACTGATCACTGAGGAAGGCTTTCTTATCTCTCCTGGCTATTCTTTGGAACTCTGCATTCAAATGGGTATATCTTTCCTTTTCTCCTTTTCCTTTCACTTCTCTTCCTTTCACAGCTATTTGTAAGGCCTCCTCAGACAGCCATTTTGCTTTTTTGCATTTGAGAAAAGCATAACTGAAAAAGATATATACATTCCAGTGTTCATTACAGCACTATTTACAATAGGACATGGAAGAAACCTACACGTACATCAACAGAGGAATGGATAAAGATATGATACATATATAGAATGGAATATTACTCAGCCATAAAAGAAGGAAATAATGCCATGTGCAGCAACATGGATGGACCTAGATTAGAGACTGTCATACTGACAGAAGTTAAGTTAGACAGTGAAAAATAAAAATCATATGGTATTGCTTATTTTGGGAATCTTGAAAAGTGGTACAAATGACCATATTTACAACACGGATAAAGAAGTAGAAAACACTCTTATGGTTGCCAGGGGAAAGGCAGGAGGAGGGATAAATTGAATATTGGTATTGATGTATACACACCTACATATAAAATGGATAACTAATAACCACCTACTGTACAGCACAGGGGACTCTACTCAACACATTGCAAGTGACCTACATGGGAAAAGAACTAAAAAAAGAGTGGATATATGTATACGTATAACTGAGTCACTTTGCTGTACACCTGAAACTAACACAGCATTGTAAATTAATTATACTTTCATACAAAAAAACTTTTTAAGTAGGAAATGCACAGGAAAAATTTCTACTGAGAAAGGGCAGGAATCAGTGCGGGAATCAGCACTGGAGAGAATTAAGATGGAAATATTGCAAAGTTAGGTAATTTAACGCTTTGTCATCAATTTAATTTTTGAGATAAGCAACTAAATTATATTAATCTTTCCAACCTTAACCTTACCCTTATGATTTAATATTAAAATTCTTTTTGGTACTTTAGACAACAGTCATATTCACTGGAAGCAGTAATTGTGTCATCAGTCCTCAGGGTCAAATACAGCTCATGTTGTACCAAGCATATGGCTGAGTCTCTACAAATTATTAGATAAATAATTTTCCTATGAATCTACATGCTTAATTGTGGAGCCCCCACGGGATTTCTGAATATGCCGATTTCAGTGATCATCATAATGGAGCTGATCGACTACAGAGTCCCGTCAGCTGCCAGGTTATCAGCCTTTATTACCACAGGAAAAATGAGTCGACTGAAAAAGGTCAATTTAGTCAGGTCACGTAAATACCGTTAAGCACTTTTTGGAAATTAGACTCTTGCCATCAAACAAGAAAATACAGATGCACTGACTACATTAACCAAGAAGTTCTATTCTAATGGTCCTCTTAAATTTAAACGGCAAACTTTCAATAGTTTCATAAGTTACTGCCAACAGGTAACTTGGCTTTGGATTGAGAACCTCATTTCAAAGCTACTTTCTACTTTCAAAACTGATTCAAAGTGGATTTGGAGATAGGAAAAAGTTTAATTTTGCTTCCCAAATCTAGACTAGCAGTATGACTATGAAGAAAAAGGAAAACAATCCATGAATTTTTAATCTATGCTTTCTATCCATTAGGAAAAAAGTGAGCCATATAATTTTATGTACTAGCTAGACAAGTTCTATCTGATCTCTGAGTATGGGTTTTCACTTGTAAAACAGAAATAAGATACCTGTAAAACTGGGTTGACCTACCTGCTCTGCCTCCTTTAAAGGGCTGAGATAGGAAAAATGAGTACCTCAAAGGCTATTTTCAAATCTAACTTTTAAAATATCATTTGTTTGAATTAATTTTAGTTTACAGCTATTCATATTCCATTGTACAACATACAAGAAAAAAATTGGTAGGATTCCATTTTTATTACCTAACTACCTAGTGAAAATCAGGTTATACAAAATCATCTATGTATCAGAAGAGCTCTAGCCAAAAATATTTAACATGAATAAAGCAAAACAATTAGTCAAAAACAAATTTGGGAACTTGCCTGGACTTTTCAAAAATGTCAGTGTCATGATAAATTTTTTTAAAAAGGCAAGTGAAGGGTACAATTTAGATAAAAAGGAAACAAATGACATGGTGACCAGATGCAATCTGTGATCCTTGATGGAGTCTTGGGAAAAAGAAAAAATAAAAATTGGAACATTTTGGAGACAATCACAGCAATTTGCTCAGTATATTACATAATATTATTTTGTCAACAGTAAATTTATTGACTATGATAATAATATTGCAGTTATGAAGGAAATGTCCTTGTTTTCAGGAGAAACATGCTAATACATTCTAGGAAAGAAATTTTATGCTGCTTGCTGCTTACTTTCAAATGGTTCAGAAAAAAAATTTTTTAAGTATCTAGAGAGAAAGCAAATGTGGTAAAATGTTAAGAACAGCTGAATAATCTAGGTGATGGGTATCAGGTTTTATTTTTCTAGTCTTTCAACTTCTCTATACATCTGAAATTTAAAAAATACTCTGGGGGGAAGTGAACACTATGTACAACAAAAAGTTGACAAACAATGGAAAAATTACATCAATTTTCCAATAATAAAATGATACTTTAACCTAATTTTTAAATGAAAATAAATTCATTGTTACAATATTTGAGGTATATTATTTAAGAGCAACATTAATCTTTCCAATACAACAGGTAAATTAAGTGGACTTAATTACATAATAAAAGGTCTCACTGTAGGATTTCCTTTAAGAAAAAGTGGCATCATCTCTAAAAGCAGGGCAGAAACAGATCAAGTGTCATTACTGGAAAGATCATAGAAATTAGCTAAATCTTTATACACTAGCAGACCAGTATCTACATGTTTTTTCAGGACATATACTAACATTTTTTCTCAAAAGATAACTTAAAGGCAAATAGAACATGTATATTACAGTTAATAGATGTGATGGCTCATGTTTTACCACATACTGAAGGCAAGCAAAATTACACAACTAGAAACAATTGAAGTTCATAGGCAGAAAACATGATCTTCTAATCTAGAAATGCTAATTTAATTCTAGAGTTGAAATGCTATAAAGAAGGAGGAAAAACTCTCTAATAAACCCCTAGACTTGGAGGATAGACAAGATGGTGAGATAAAATAAGTCTGCCTTAGGTTGAAAAATTTTCCTGCAGATTTCTGGGTGAAAACTTTGAAACTAAAATTTTGTAATCTCCTTTTTATCAAACCAGTATATTTACGTGTATGTGTATTCTTCTGGCAGAAGGCTGAACAACTGTCCATCAATCCCATAAGAAATCAGAAAGTATACTCAGGAATTTCTTTTTATGGGTTCATTTAAGCATTAACTAGAAAGAGCATATTACTGTAACATGATGTTTATATGATTTCTTAATTATACATTCATAAAAAATTTAAACCACCTGTTAACGTCAAGTTACATTCTCTGCTTTAAGATCTATTTGCTGGTACAGATTTCCAATTACTACACTTTCTTACAAAATATACAGTATTTCCTTTACCAGATAAGTTCTATAAACAGAAAAATAAGATTAAATTCTCTTTATGAACTATTTTTAGCAGTTTTTCCCTTTTTTGTAAATAAGATGACAACAGTGTGAACTGTAGTAGAAAACAATTTCATAAAATATTACACCTTTATCTTCAAAATAGCATTTACCTTGTTAATAGACACTATCAAAGCTGGTTCCACTTTAGCTTCAATTTCTTCTGGAGTGTAAAAACAATAGAGTTTGCCCCCTCTTAAAACACAATACAACCTTCTCCAAAGAATCAGACCTCCTACCATTTGCTGAAAAAGCAAAATCAAGAAATTCTCAACTTTAAATCATTATTTATCATGTTAACTCTAAACTCAACAAAATACTTGAATTATCAGTTAGTTTTTAAAGATGTTTTAATATGATAGTTACCCAATAAATTTACCATATAATAAGTTAGTAGCCCAAAGCCAAAAAGTTAATGATTATCACATTACTCATACACATAAAATCATAAATCAACGCAATTTAAGAGAAGCTAGTCTACTAAAAATTAGTGCTTGGAATTCCACAGCAATTCACCAAATGACTCAGGAAAATTATAAAAATAACTCAATATTCAATAACTCAATATTCAAAATATAACTTTCCCTTACTGTTCTCAGAACACAGACTTACCTATAAAAATGCAAATTTTCTTGCCTCTTAATGGAATATTTTTTAAAAAGCTATTGATTCATTGAAGCCCATAATTAATTATTTACTGAATATAAATAACTATAGTTATAAATAAATAAGGAGTAGGTTGCACAGAGGCAGCTTTGGAAGCCTAGAGGCCAAAACTGTGCTGAAAGCTGTCTGCCAGAAAGGTCTTTATGGGAAAGGTTTGAGAAGTCCTCATTAGCTTCCCCAGGGAGTCCTCTGTTACTGATTATCCTGTTGCTGCTATTAATGAAGCAGAGGAACCTGGAGAGGCAGCTCCTTAGCCATCAAAATTGCATTAAGACCCTTCCCCTTCCTACCTTGTCACTCCCAGCCACAACTCCTATTCTATGTCTAACAATGAGGAAGCTACCCATTCAAGAGACGATTTTATATAAAAAAAGAAAATACTTTTCAATATCAAAATGCCAAACAACTGCCATTAAGATCTAACTTAGAGCTACAATTGTAGGATATTTAAAGTCTTCTAACCTGCTTATTAAGAAATCCCGCAAATACATCCTCAGCCATACAGGTTGGTTGGGCGACTAGTCGGCAGCACATGTTACCATATAAGGGAAGCCAAAATGAAGATTCTTCTATTTAAAAGAGAAAAAGCCAAGGTATATATATATGTTTATTTAAGGTCATTATACATTTTAATTATTTTTACAATTTTTATTTTTGCTTTATATAAGAACATATGAAGAACATATAAGAAACTGGAGCCCATTATACAGAGCGAAGTAAGCCGGAAAGATAAAGACCATTACAGTATACTAACACATATATGTGGAATTTAGAAAGATGGTAACGATAACCCTATGTGCAAAACAGAAAAAGAGACTCCTATGTATAGAACAGACTTGTGGACTCTGGGAGAAGGCGAGGGTGGGATGTTTCAAGAGAACAGCATTGAAACACGTATATTATCTAGGGTGAAACAGTTCACCAGCCCAGGTTGGGTGCATGAGACAAGTGCTCGGGCCTGGTGCACTGGGAAGACCCAGAGGGATTGGGTGGAGAGGGAGGTGGGAGGGGGGACCAGGATGGGGAATACATGTAAAAAAAAAAAAAAAAAAAATTAATTAATTAAAAAAAAAAAAAAAAAAAAAAAAAGAACATATGTAAAGATCCATCCTACTCATATTACCATATTCAATGACAACAGCAAATGAAAGAAAGCAGTCAGGACAGGATGTTATTAAACTAATAGTTTGTAGTAGTGGTCCCCAACATTGTTGGCACCAGGAGCCAGTTTTGTGGAAGACAATTTTGCTACAGACTGGGAGGGTAGAATGGTTTCAGGATGATTCAAGAACATTACTTGTATTGTGATATTTTACTTATATTATTATTATTGCATCAACTCCATCTCAGATCAGGCATTAGATTCTGGTGGCTGGGGACCCCTGGTTTATAGCATGCTATCACCTGGAACAGACATGGAACTTTTAGTCTCTTGATCTCTTTCTTGATCTTAAAGCAATTAATCAATGGAGGTAGTTCAAGGCATATTAGTAAACTCAGGTAATTTAAAAAACATCCTAATAAAATTATTTTTGTATGTCACATTCTACTTTTTACTCTGGTTTTCATTATAAAGTGAAAGAAAGCGAAGTCGCTCAGTCGTGTCTGACTCTTTGCAACCCCGTGGACTGTAGCCCACCAGGCTCCTCCATACATGGGATTCTCCAGGCAAGAATACTGGAGTGGGTTGCCAGTTCCTTCTCCAGGGGATCTTCCCGACCCAGGGATCGAACCCAAGTCTCCAGCATTGCAGGCAGAGGCTTTAGCGTCTGAGCCACCAGGGAAGCCATTAGGGTTTTCATTATAGTAATTAGCAAATTGATCCTCTGAATAAAACACTTCAGAGCACAACTTAAATAATTTAATAATAAACCTTTTGGCCCTTCCCCTTCTCCCTTTCCTTACTGAACAGTTCAGTTGTAAGCCATTATGTGAAGCCCACCAAGACGGGGATCTGTGCCCGGAGTTGGGGGCAGGGGAACAGCAGTGGGCAGAGCTAGGTGCTGGAGCCGGGCAGGATAAGAAGGCTGAGTGAGAAAGCTTCCTGGCATGAGGGGGCAGAGGCTGAATGGGCTGAGGACGATGGATCACACGGGGAATCTAGAACCCAAGGGGAATCTCTTCTCAGTGGCTGGGCTGGCATGGAGAGTTGGGGTCCAGGTAGAGCAAGGAGGGTATCTATGCACAGTGGCTGCCCAGGTGAAGTGTCAGAATCCACGGAGAGTAAGAGAAGTGTGCACATTTTGGGGGTGGTCCAGCCACGGGTGTCAGCTTGAGAGCAGTGAGGAAGCCATTCACACATCTGGTAAACCAGAGGAGCGCGTCAGAGCCCAGGAATAAGGAAATCCAAGCCCGGGGCAGCTGGGTATGGGCTGTCAGAGCACAGGCAGGCTGACAGGGGTCCACATGGGGTGATGAGGGCAGCCAGGCATGCGGAATTAAAACCCGAGTGGGGTGAGGAAAGCAATATGTGAGCAAGATGGGGAATGGTTGCTTTTAAAGAGGCTAATCAAAGAATAAAATACAGTAGATAATATAAAGATAATAGAAGACAGGTTTCTCACTATCAGAGAAAGGAAGTACAAATATGCAGAATGAACTTTTTGGTATTGGTTTAGAACTAGATGTACTGGTATGAACTCATGGTTTTCAACATATAGAGATTAAGAAATCCATGACAAAAAATATATACATGTATGTCCACTAAGAGGGCCTAGGAAAAGTGACAACTAATGGTGACAGTATGATGGCAATGAATTTACCTAAACCTCCCATGTCTTCTAAATATTATCTCTATTAAAAAGAACCAGTCTTCTTTGGAGAAATGGCTGGTTCCAGGACTGGGGCAGGTAAAGTACATGATGAGTCTGACATATCTTGTCATGCCTGAAGCAAGGAAGTACTCAGTGAATGAGGAGGACATGGAAAAAGACAGAAACCATCTTGAATGTAACCCCACTGGCTAAAACGGAGACAATTTGAATCTCAAAATAAACAAGATATTAACAGATTATAATGCACTGAGTAAAACTATAAAATACAAATCCATGATACTATAAATAAATCAATGAATAAAGTTGAAAGTCTAATAAATACTATACTTAGTTTCAAAGTACCCCCATCCCACGCACAAATTATGTATTAATTACAAAAGGGGTAAACAAAAAGAGTAACTGTACAGTAGAGAAGCTTGACAGACACCCTAAAATCAAGTGATCAAAGTGAACATCATCAGTAATGGGATGAATCAAAATATGCCACCTGAAAGAATGCAATAAGAACGCAGCACTTCTGTGACATTTCTGCCAAAGATGCATATCCTGAGTCAGCCCCAGAAAACATTCAACAAACCGAAACACAGGGAACTTCTACAAAATAACTATGATATTTTAAAATGTCATAGCTATGAAAGCCAAGGAAAGACTGGAGAACTGATCTAGATTGAAAGAAACTGAAGAAGCATGATGATTAAATGCAGTAAGTGAACCTACACTGGATCCTTTGGTCATAGGGACATTACTAGAAAAATATTTGAATAGTGTCTGTTTAATAGGAATAATAGTAATACATTAACATTCATTTCCTGACTTGGACAGCTGTAACGATGTAGTTGGATGTCTTTTAGCAGGAAATAGATACTAATATAGTTGAGAGTAATGAAGCATCAGATAAGCAAGTTGCTCTCATATACTTCTCGAGAAAAACAAAAAGACCTTGATATTCAACTTTTAACTTTTCTATAAGTTTGCAATTGTTTAATAAAGTTCTTTCAAAAACATTAAAATACTCCTCTAATGTAATGTGCAGGTGGATATACAGCCTTTATAACTGTATGGAAGGAAAGCAATGTATAATTTATTGTATCAGAGTATAAATAAAAACACAACATATGGTCAGTCCTCTGTTCACACTGGACCACACAAAAAAAGATTTGTAAAGTTTTCACTGCACCCCTGTTGGTAAATGCCTATTAAATGACTAACAATTGGCTGTTACTATTAGTAACCAAAAAGTAAGTACAGAAAATAAAATGCTTTTGGTAAAAATACAATTATTTAATATATATTTAATGGATGTAGCCAAGGTTTCATACATCAGTTAAATGAAAAAGACCAGCCTAAATGAAGAGCATGTGTGTGGGTGCTAAGTTGCTTCAGTAGTGACCGATTTCTGTGCAACCCCATGGACTGTAGCCCACCAGGCTCTTCTGTCCATGGGATTCTCCAGGCAAGAATACCAGAGTGGGTTGCCATGCTCTCCTCCAGGGGGATCTTCCCGAGCCAGGAATCAAACCCAAGTCTTTTACCCCTAATCTGCGTCAGCAGGCAGATTCTTTACCACTAGCACCACCTGAGAAGCCCAAATGAACAGCACAAAATAAAATAATTTTTATCAATTTACTTGCTCAAGATTCTACTAGAGAATAGCACACAACAAATTTTCTGGGCCTATTCTTTTTTATTATTACCTTGTAAAAGCTGCTATCTTTTAGAAATGAAGGGCTTCATCTGAGAGAATTTAAGTGTATAAATACACTACAGGCAATGATCTTAAAATGCAGATATAAATAAATGAGAATTTCCTTTCTTAAAATAGGCAGGAAATGAAAGAAACATTATACAAAAGCATGGATCTAGGTAATACATCTGAAATCAAATTTGTGATTTATGAATTTAAAGTTTCAAAGTGAGTTTCTTTACATACAAGACTTATGGATGATTTGTTTTTAAGTTAGGATGTAACTCCTAAAGAAACAGAATCATAAATGATTAGTTTTACAGACCAGTTCATAAAGTTTGTTCAATCAACAATGTACCTGGAACCTAAACACCACATGTAACAGTTTCTCTAGCAAAATAACTTCAGATTTCATGGCACACCAAGAAAAATAATTCCTTCCTAGTTGCAGTCCTTGAAAACAGATATTCGATGTAAAATTCTTTGTTCTACAGATCACATGCCACACAGGCCGCAGTCAGCTGTTACTTCCCATGTAGATTTCTCTACAGCTCATGACCACTGGAGAAAAAAGCACAGAGCTAGTTTCTTCTCTCTACTTTTAACAAGAACGATGGCATCTAGGCTGGTCACTTAACTTGCCCAAGTATCAACTCTCATTCTTAAAAATACTACCTATAAAGTACTAGGGTTGTTGTGAAATCAAATAAGAAAATGTGTAAATATGACATTTATCACTGTATCTGGCATGTAACAGATGCTTCTTATAATTTCATATCCAGGGCACCCTCAGTCCCGAAGCCATATCCTTTCCATTTCTCAATGCTGTCTTTCCTGTCTTGTGCAACACATTTCATCAAAATACTTAATTCTTCTTTTCTAACCAAGGGTGATATTAGGACAAGATGAAATGAAACAGGAAGTGAAAGAACAGTTTGACTTTTCATACTGGAAGATTTTATCTAATTCATCTGTAGTTTTAGATGGGGAACAAAACGGAGTTTTAAAATGACAGTGACAACAAAACAAAGGCAAGAGAAAGAATCCAGATAACATCTCAGTTCCCTGTCAGTCAATCTTTACAATGTGGTTTCATTGTTTTATAAAAAGT